TGAAACAAAATAAAAGTACATAATGTGTCTTTCAAATATTTATTAAGATAAAGTTATAGATAGTGTTCCTGATTATTACAAAAGTAGCGATTCATGATTGTTACAAATGTGTGTTAATTATATATATATATTCATGTATAAATATATACATGCATGAATATATGTATCTATTATTGTTACAAATTGATCTTCGTACAGTATTAGAAACTTATCACGATCATAATCATTTTTATCTAAAATTTATGAAAAATAGAAAAAAATCAATGTTGTTATAATAAAATTATACTAATTATATCGTATCAATACAATATTACGTATGTAATGCATAGGCATTACACTACATGGACTGCTAGTCCTCATATGTTTTCCGAAGGGTATGGAACGTCACATGTGTGAGCGAACATTGCCGACTACAATCGCGGATTCTCCCGATTGATTAAATGTAACTTTGGTACTTCATGTTGAATTAAATTAATTTAATTTTTACTGTTTAAGATATCCAAAATTGCATCTTAAACTTCTCCTAATCGATATCGTGAGGTTCGAATTGCACATACTCATTTTTACTGTCGCATTAGTTGTTATAAAGTGAAATTTTTACGAATTTTAAAAATATTGTGGAAAGATTAGTAAAAGATGCAAAGAAATTATATATTGAAAATTTAATATCCGAATTTTGTGTTGGCGCCCCCTAAGGCGTGCGCTCGTATTTTTCGCATGCATCGCATTAAGGGTAGGACCGGCCCTGATTAATACTTAATTTCATCTCAGCTTCTTTTTGGCCATAATAATGTAGACATTTCATTTTTCTTATTCATAATCATAATTTTATTGTACTTATTCTAACATTGTCTAGATTCATAGGTAAATTGAAATTTTTAGTAGATGATAGTTTTGATTTGTTTTCAATGCAAACAATGACATGTCGTTTTTTACAATTTTTTTCATTCATTTCTACAATATAACACATACATCCCATTACTTTATAATCACATACATCCAGAAAATTTCCTTAACAAACTTCAGAAAGATTTATCAAAATCCGCATAATCGTTTAGAAAGAGTATACAGTGAGTGCTTGTAATTTAATATGAACTTTATATAATAGCAATAAAGCTCAAATTGATTCTACTATTGATTTTAGTTAGAAAACGTTTGTATGTGAAAAAGAAAAGGAATGTTTTTAGGGTTTTCCCGGCAATTATTCGATTTTTTCTCGCCGTAAGAACCATCCTTGGACTTCAACTAACATTTTAAAAAAAGAATTAATGCTCACAATTAACTCTAAACATTGCGATTTCGAATAGAATTCTTTCAAATACTTTCAAATAAACTCTAATTATATTAATTCAATCGGGAGATTCCGCGATTGCCGTCGGCTATGTCCGCTCAGACATGTGACATCACTTACCTTTCTGTGTTTGAGCACTTATTTTGCGCTCGACCAGCAGTCCATGTAGTGTAAGGTCCATGATGTAATGACATTTATCAATAATTAATATATATATATATATAAATATAACATATAAACATAAAATAATTATCATCATATCTTAAATACTACACGTACTTATCACGGTTAATATTTATACTAAATATTTATAAAGCAGATTTTTTTATAACTGTTAGACACTTGTTTTTCGAATTATACTTTTATAAAAGTCATTATGATTTCGGTAGTATTGATACAGGATACAGATCTTCTTTAATTAGATGATATAGTCTGAGAAAATTTTTAAAGTAGCATATTAGGAACAAAAATGTATATTTTGTACGTAGATATTTTTTAAATATTGACAGCTTCACAATTTTATAAAAGAACAAAGAATTTCAGTGAATCTCATTATAATATAGTGTTAGAGGAAATGATTTTGTGTCAATGGTGAACAAATGTGTGATCGTTGAGAGCCGCATATCTTCTGTACTATGTCTATCTATATCAAACATCTCTTCAAATATATCTTCTCATTACTTATATCATATATGGGATCCTCCAGTTGTCCATTGTTGATACAAAAGTCTTACTTAGTTCTTGTTAGATGAATTATCATAGGAGAGGAAATATATAGGCTTGTTCTTTAATAAACTTGCTCCTGCTCTGTTATTATGTTAGTACATGTTTAAAGAAATATAGGAAAGCGACTAAAGAACAAATTAATTGAGTGTTTCTAATTGCATACTATATTACTCTAAGCATGTATTATGATAAGATTCTAAGCTTATTTAAGAAAAAGTCTATTAGTTATTTAATAATTAAATCTAATCGTATTGTAATAAAACTATTATTTATATATTATAAACAATTATTATCAAGATACTCTTTTATTACTGCTTTATTTCTTTATATTCAGCTCTTCTGATCTGTAATTTTTCAAAATGTTTGAAAATTAAAAAAATATGTTTTAGGTATAACTTAGCGACAAATGAATGTGTTTTATTCATTCATTTGTTTGCTAAATTACATCAAAGAAACATTTTTAAAATTTTTGAAAATTTTTTCATGCTATTTCCATACAAAACTTTAATTCGAGTATATTAACAAATTTCTAGAATGTTGTTCTGCGACCAATCACAACGCTTGAAAATGACGTATGTTATTAGCGCTAATTATGATTGGCTAATTAATATTGATCCTTCGTTTTTTTCCGTTTTCTTTCGTCCCTTTCGCATAGGTTATAAATAGGAGTGCGCGAAGGATTTCGTAGCAGTCGCCGGCCGCGGCCGGCGCCAGGGTCACCTAGGGTGACGCTGAAAGCCCCCGGGGCGCCAGACCGGCAGCTCCCTTTGGAGCTGGACTGGTTAGGAGCCCTGGGGCCTCCGCCGGAGACTCCCGGCCACGGAGACTCCGTGCCACGGGGACTTCGGGTCTCGGAGACTCCGTGCCACGGGGACTTCGGGCCTCTGGGACTTCGGGCCTCGGAGACTCCGTGCCACGGGGACTCCGTGCCACGGGGACTCCGTGCCACGGGGACTCCGTGCCACGGGGACTTCGGGCCACGGGGACTCCGTGCCACGGGACTCCGTGCCACGGGGACTTCGGGCCTCGGGGACTCCGTGCCACGGGGACTCCGTGCCACGGGGACTTCGGGCTCGGAGACTCCGTGCCACGGGGACTCCGTGCCACGGGGACTTCGGGCCTCGGAGACTCCGTGCCACGGGGACAGCGAGAAAGTCGATTCAAATTGTATTCTTATGGTGTCCGGAGTGTCCGTATCCCGGAATCTTCGTGTCCGGAGTCTCCGAGTCTCCGTGTCCGGAGTCTCCGAGGCCCAAAGTCCCCGTGGCACGGAGTCTCCGAGGCCCGAAGTCCCCGTGGCACGGAGTCCCCGTGGCACGGAGTCTCCGAGGCCCGAAGTCTCCGTGGCACGGAGTCTCCGAGGCCCGAAGTCCCAGAGGCCCGAAGTCCCCGTGGCACGGAGTCTCCGAGACCCGAAGTCCCCGTGGCACGGAGTCTCCGTGGCCGGGAGTCTCCGGCGGAGGCCCCAGGGCTCCTAACCAGTCCAGCTCCAAAGGGAGCTGCCGGTCTGGCGCCCCGGGGGCTTTCAGCGTCACCCTAGGTGACCCTGGCGCCGGCCGCGGCCGGCGACTGCTACGAAATCCTTCGCGCACTCCTATTTATAACCTATGCGAAAGGGACGAAAGAAAACGGAAAAAAACGAAGGATCAATATTAATTAGCCAATCATAATTAGCGCTAATAACATACGTCATTTTCAAGCGTTGTGATTGGTCGCAGAACAACATTCTAGAAATTTGTTAATATACTCGAATTAATGAAATTGATTTCTTTAGTAACAAGGACGAAATAAACGAGAGAAATTTAACAGGAGCAAAAATATTTATTTTAGTAGGTCCACGAGAAAAATTTTCCGAAAAAGAAATTGAACACATAAAAGTAAATATCATAATCACTAAATAAATACTTTTGTGGTTGAGCAATGGTGGTTGAGCTTAATCGATAAGAATTGATTTGCGAGCACATTCTTCGACAATTATTCAAATTGTACAAAAACTTGTTCAAGCACATACATTTTATTTTACATGTATGAAAAGCTTATAAAATTCTCTACATAACTGCATATAACGATTTTGAACTTTTGGAACAAATACATGACGAAAAAAAAATGACAAACTTTAAAATCGTATAAAATTGCAAGCAAAGATGAAAATGTTTGTACATTTTCTCACATTTATTTAAATTGTGTAGAAACTTCTCAAAACACATAAATTTTGCTTTATACAGATAAAAAGCTTATAAAATTCTCTACACAACTGCATTTACCAATTTTCAACTTTCGGAACAAATTCATATATGCTTGCTTCATATAATTGCTTGACAAGAGCCTGAAATAATATCTATTATTATTGATTTACGGCTTGCTTATGAATAAATAAATAAATAAATAAATAAATATATGGACCACCCTAATATATACATAAACAATGTGAATTTATGTTTTTCATGCGTTATATGAATAAAAACATAATAAAACATAATACCATCAGCATTGTATTCTGTTAAAGAAATGTTGGACTTGAGAAAAGTTGGTGTACACATTGTTAACTATGAAGATCGGACTACATATCTTTCAAAATTCGTAAGAAGATTAAATATTTATGAATTTTATAGTAATATATTCTTTCAAAAATACAACTTTTTTAACACACTTAGTGCATATTTGTTGATATGGATATAGTATATGTATATATATATCAAATTTATGTTATATATATATATATATATATATATATAATATATATATATATATATATTATATATATATATATATATATTATATATATATATATATATTTTGATAGTTTTTTCGACGTTGAAATATATATATATATATATATATATATACCATATACATTATTAGCATATAAATGCTAACAAATTATCACAATTATTTATTTCATTAATTATCCTAATAACAAGTTCTATTTTTAACATTTTTTATAACTGTATATAAAAACTTTTATATATATTTTTGTGTGTATGTGTGTGTTTTGTACTTTAAAGCAGCCAAATGATAAAAATTGTTTCACTCTTCTCTTAAGTACAATAAAAGAAAACATTCTATTAAATTGAAACTTTCTACTAAATCTTACTAGTGTTATCCACTAAGTAATTGTGTCTTATTGAGATCATTGACTATTTAATATTTAACATTATAAACAAGACTGCAGGACAAATTGGCGAATGTTGATATATCACAGTGGCGTAGTTGTCGAATTATTTCCTACTTAATCGTTCTAAATGATGCGATTCAAGATTATAATTACATTTGTCATGTAAGCGTTACATTCGAATATTTGTGCCTCATTATTCTATTTCGTTTCGTGGAATATCTTTCTATGGTGTCCATGATATTTTTGTAGACTATTTTGTCTGCATCGTTTCCCCACGTGTAGTCGAAGTGCGTCCAATCCGCATCCTCAACCAGGTACGTGCCTGCCAGGTTGCCCAATTTGGTCATCAGGATATCGACATCCTAGGGGCAAAAGATATGATAATAATTTTATATTTGATTTCCGATATAATTCTTACGTTAGTGATTTATTTGTGTGTGTGATAGGTTCATTATATGTTCACCTTTGGGTCTGATAGCCAATCATTCATGCTCCAATGGAGGATCACAGGAGCAGTAATTTTACTCAAATCATATTCTGGAGGTTCCCTTGATTTATATACTTTTAAATTTTTTTCTTCGCCATAGTCGAATTGACAGAACTTGCCTGTAAAACAAATGATATATTTATATTCTTTTATTATAAACACCTTTATATATATTCTATTATTAACTTCCCGTAGGGTAGTTATAGTAATAGGCAGAAAATCGAAAATGAAAATTTTTGCATTTCTCGACGTTTTGAAGGTTTCTGAACATTTTGCCGACATACCTCAAAAAAAGGATTTTTGTGTGTATGTACGTGTGTGTGTGTGTTTAGTATGACCGCATTTTTTCGTCCACGTTTTCGGGCGCACGGATCAACCGATTTGAAGGGTTTATAAAACATTCGATCCCTATTGTCAGGGAGAAGTGCTGATTAGTTTTTGGTAAAGGCAGGTCCAACTGTTACGGAGATACGGAGCAAAGAGTGCAGAAAGTTTTTGAGAGAACGGACTATCGGATTTGAATGATCTAAAAAATATTCAATTTGTAATGATTGGGAGAAGAGGTGATTAGTTTTTGACAAAGACAGGTCCTGCCATTTCAAAGATACACAGCTAAATGTGCAAAAAATTGCAGTTTTTGAGTGAACTAAGCGTCCGATTTGAGTACAGTATAAGTGAAAATTTCACACAGAATTTATTGCAAATGCGTTTAGACTGTGACTATGTTTAGGCTTGAATTCGAAATGAAATGACGATTGTTAATGTTCTGGAGATAAATTGATTTATGATTTACATTTGATTCGCTCAGATATAACAAGATGGAAAAAATAATGAAAGTTACAGTACTTGAAATAATATATTTAGAATAATATTATAAATTTATATTTAAAATTTCTCGAATTTCATTACGGTATGGGAAGTTCCAGCAATTTGCCTTAAGGCACGATGCCATACACTACTAATTTTATTACCTGAATTGACCAGCTGACCATAATGAAAAAGTAAATCCACAGAACCACCAGCAGGAGTATTAGAAAATATTAATGGCAAAATTGTCTGAAATATAATAATGTATTTATATGGAAAAATTGCTTCAACATACGAGTTATTTGACATAGGAGCGAATAAAAAATTTTTTATCTTACCGAATTGAGTTGGGCTGCATTGTAGCCTCCAACGAAATTCAAAATGGCCGTGCAGACCGCCTGCGTCCAGGCGGAGTCTCTGCACAGTAAACCAGACGCCGCCGTCAGCCATTCGCTCGACGACAGGAACTCGCGAACTCCGAAAATATTAGCCAAGTTCTGAAAAAAAAAAAACAATGAAAATATATGAATAAAATCATAACATCAAATGAAAGAAAGAAATCTGATTTTTCACCATTCAAAACAATTTTCTACATATATTCACTTTTTAATTGTTTAAAAAATTAAGTGTTGTATTAACATTAGTATAATTATATATCATCATCTGTGATTTTGGAACATATTGTAGAATGAACATTATAAAATATATTAATAATTACATATTATTATAATGACAACTTCAGTAGTTCTGAATTACTTTTGAGTATTAATATATTTTATGATGATTTATCTCCAATTTGTTCATGTCAAATAATAAGAATTCAGCGAAATTATGTTATTTTTTATTTGATGTTATATTTCTTTGGTGATCTTGTTAATATATTCACTTTAAAATTTCTAATGACTGAAAATAATTGATTATTAAATATTAAATATTAATATTAAATACGAATATTACAAATAAATTTATTTGATATTAATTTAATGATTGTTTTTTCAAAACGCTTAAAACTATTACAAGGCCCTTAGCTAAAATTTACATCCTTCGTCAAATTCTTCTGTTTCACTGTAAAGTAAACCTTCTTATCCTTTTATAGCTTCTTAAACTACGAGTCCCGACCCCAACATCTAGATTTTTGAATGTTTTACAACGAATTCTAAAACAATATATTGACATATGCATATTTATTTACCTAATACCTAATAAACAAATCATCTAAAAATAATAATTTCTCTTTCTCTTATATATCGTATATCTATTTTATAATTGTGTGGGGTCGTCAAGAAACTCGCAATTATGAATGGGGTCGCGAATAACAAAAGTTTAAGAAGCCCTGGTTCAAACCAAGAGACATGGCTCTCTTATTTTGGACCTATTTGGTTATAAAAGTAAATAATATTTTCTAAATGTACAAAAATAAAAATAAAATGCCAATTAAACCTGTACATGCAATCAATATTATATAAATTATAGTTAAAATTTCAAACGTTTGAACAATTATAATTATTTTAACGTTTGAATCGATATCGGTATATCGATATATTCGCATGGTAAATTGTTACAATCATAGAAAAAAGAAGAGTTCATGGTTATAACACCATGAAAATAATATTAATATGTAATTGAAATGACTAACCGTAAAATAATTTACTATCACAGCCAAAATATGTCTATGGTATGAAAAACATTGCGACAACCGACGAAATTCATACCAATTCTTGTTTTCATTTTGCCATTAACATTTTTCTAGAAAACTCTTACTGGCTCAATGCTCGTATTTCGAATTTTTCTCCCAAGTCGGGGATACCACTGTATTACAATTGCAATAATATAATGACGTATTTCTTCTAATCAGTAAATTTCGACATCAAAACAATGAGTAATAGGTAATGATTTATTCAGTAGAGACAGTTCAAGGATCAAAATGATTGTAGATGTCTTAAAGATTAATTTTGCGTAAATAAATACTGCGTTTTAAATCTAATCAAAATAATCGGTGACATTTCGTATAACACGTGTCTCTGTACATCTGTTATCACACTTAATCATTTTTTATGATAATCTTGTGCGATATTTTTCGACAAAGTCCAAGGATTGTGATTCTCAAACATTTTCTATGTCTATTTATTAACTTACTTGTAAGAATGGTAAAACGCTGACCGCCAGTCTGACGAAGGGGCTCTTGCAATGGGACATGTAGGCTATGGGGGCCATCGCTTGCATTGAGGCTATTTTAGAATTGTACGATTGCTTCTGTGAAGCCATCACGAAAAATGCAGTCGTGCCCTGCGAGTGCCCCACGTAATGCAACCTAGTAAAAGATAATGGATTAATAATGCAATAATTATATTACATACTTAAATTTTTTAACTTTTAACTAAATTACTTCAATACTTCAAAAATCGCACAACGATTAACTGTCAAAACACTCAAACGAGAATTCATAATAGCCAACACACAAATACCTTATACATGAAAATTAACACGAACTTCAGACCAATTGTCTTCATAGTGCAGATTACCGGTAAATTCAAATATCTATTTCCTGATCTTGTGATATATACATTAAATGCTTCCAAATTGATAAAAAAAATTCTCTGAAAGTTTTAGCTTCTAAAATACTCCAACCAAAATTTATTTTGGAAATAACATCGGTAAAATTTCATTTATTTTTTAGAACTTTATAACTTAGCCACAAGTGAATTAAAATTTTGAGAATAACATTGTATTTGCTTATTTTGATCATAAATAAAAAAAATTACAACAAAAATTTGATATATTTTATAAAATAAGTATTTACTTAGGAAGAAGAACCAAGAAGCCTTGATTTGAGTGCGAACTATCTTATAATTAATACTAGGAGTTAAAAATTCAGAGTATTTTGTTATCTCATCCTTATACATATATATATACATATATATATACATATATATATATATATATATATATATATATATATATATTTAAGGTGGTCCTTAATATGGACATTTTCGATTTTCATTGCTCCCAAGGGCTCAAATGGTTACAAATTAATAAAAAAACAATTCTCTGAAAGTTTTAGCTTTTAATATTGTCTTTTAGATAGCAAAAAAAAATTTCAAAATTTTTGCAGAGCGTCGAATTTTCAATGAAAAATGACACGAATTTTCACTTTTAATTAATTTGTCGCTAAGTTATACCTAATTTTTTTTTTTAATTTTCAATTTTTTTCCATGCTATTTCCATACGAAGTTTAATTGAATTGCGCACTATATAAAAGTTAATATTAAAAGCTAAAACTTTCAGAGAATTGTTTTTTATCCCTTTTAGAGAATTGTTTTGAGCCCTTGGGAGCAAGGAAATTCGAAAATGTCCATATTAAGGACCACCCTAATATAATATATATATAATTATATATACATTATATATTATATTATAATATATATATATATATATATATATAATATTATATATATATATATACACAATATTCCTTCACAATTTAACTATTTTCACCAGTAACATTGAGTGCATGGTCAATCATTGCAGGAACATCATACATTCCAATGTGATGCCTCTGGTAAATAAAAAATACATCAGTCACCATCAGACTTAAATCAATTAATTCTTCTAATGATCTTACGTGAAGTCCCAAAATCTTTATATCAGGATTATTATTTTCTTATGTCCCCTGGAATATGTATTTCCTCTGGCATTGCCCATCCAGACATCGTAACCAGCATCGTGTAATAAATAAGCTGAAAATAGATATAAAATGATAACTTGTATTATAATTCTGAAATTTGTTTTTGTAAATAGAAAGAATGATAAAGTGATAAAATCTGGCTTTCTAGACACATTTCTAAGAGAGGACCGTCTATTGCACAACCGACAACGGAATGCATAATTAATTTAGCACATTTCAAATATAACGGACGAAAATTTACTGTGTGTTTGTTTTGTTCTGGTGTTAGGTTTGGGTTATATGGGCAGCGAATAAATTAAATTTAATTCACTTGATTAAAGATTTAAAAAAAGTATAAATAGATTGCAAACACGGTAGCTTTTTTATTACCCATAGGGGCATTAAATAATATTAGGTAATTACATCTCAGATAACATTATGTGTACATAGACTTTGTATTTCTTTTATGATTATGTTATGTTTCAATGTGTATTTTTCAATTTTGAACTTCCCAAAGTAAAACATAAATTCATTCTATATTCAATACATATATGTACAGTGTACAATTAATAAATAACATAAATATAAAAGAAATACAAAATCTAGTATATATTATTAGTATATATACGTGCCAATTCTTAACAAATAATTTCAAAATGACTAGTATATCCACAATTAATGCATTTTCTATCCATAATTTTATTTATAATATATATATATATATATATATATATATATATTATATACATATATATATATATACATTTATTACATAATATTTTATATTAACATGGTTATTATTAACAAATAAATAAGAACAACAAAACTTTGAACCAAAAAACTTTCATTAAAAAATTTATCTTACTTAAATGAATTGTTTACAAACAAAATCGTAAAAATAGTTTACAATGATAGAAATGAAAACCAATTATTTACCTGTTTGACTAATATAAGTATAACACTATTTAATTACTAAATTCTACAAGTTGTCATATTATTTAAAGAAATCTGGTATTCTTGTTTATTTTCTAATATAATTACTGTGTTAAAAAAATATATTATTTATTAAATCATATACTGAATTTATATTAGTCATGCAAACAAATAACCTTTTTACATATATTTTTAATCATAACTTTTTATTTCACCACTAATTTTTTATATAATTCATTCCTTGATTTTATAAAAATATATTCTTATTTATTTCTAATTAATGATACCATGTTTTAGAAGATGTATCTCACATAGTCTGAAACGTCGATAGTATCTTATATTTTTCTAAAGAACTGTATAAAGATATATAATTCAATCCTTACAAATATGTATATGTATGTATATATATATATATATACATACATATACAAATATGTATATGTATGTATATATATATATATATATATATATATATATACATACATATACATATTTGTAAGGATTGAATTATATATCTTTATACAGTTCTTTAGAAAAATATAAGAAACTATCGACGTTTCAGAACTATGTGAGATACATCTTCTAAAACATGGTATTAATTATACATTTATAAATATATATACATTTAAAATATATATAATATATATATATATATATATATATATATATATATGTATATATATATTTGAATTGCAAAATTATTAGAAGATTTAACAAATTTAAAGAAACATCATTATACCAGTAAAAAACAAATGAACACACATAAATTTTAAAAATTAATAAACCAAAACATTGCATAAAATAAAATAATAAAATAAAAAGTAAATAATGAAATTATGTAGTTTGTCACACGATTACTAAATTGTCAAAATTTCACTTATTGCAAAACTCATTTTTCAAATCGACAACATTTAAAAAGTACATAATTTTATAATTCAATATTTAGTTTATTAGTTTTTTTCTTTGAACAGTGTCGATAAAATTTATTTTTTATGATGGCACACATAATGTGTCGAAACTTACATAATGAATAGAATTATTGATAGAAATAGCATTAATTGAGGATATTTGTATTAAAAATATTGAAAATGGCAAACTTTGTAACTGCTGGTTCTTTCTACATTAATAAAGTTGGGGTTATATTTTAATTTATTTTTCTGAACTAAAACCGTCCTCGTTTTTATATATTCAATATATTTTTCATAATTATTTACACGAATTATAAGAAATATTAAATACATTTTATTAGGGTGGTCCTTAATATGGATGTTTTCGAATTTCTTTCCTCCCAGGAGCTCAAATGCTTCCAAATTGATAAAAAAAACCGCACTCTAACAAAAGTTTCTTGGTTCTTTTCTTCCTAAGTAAATACTTATTTAATAAAATATACCAATTTTTTTTTTGTAATTTTTTGCTAACTTGTAAGGAAATTCGAAAACATCCATATTAAGGACCGCCTTAATGTATATTTAGATGAAAAAAGAGGCCCTAGTTTTTTTGCCAATGTGTTAATAATTAAAATAGTTTAATTTGTAACATTGTAACAATGTTTGCTTTGAGCAAACTCAATATTTGGAACGACACTTTGGCCGCGAGTGTTAAAATTCGAAACAATGGAAGGGCAATGGCATCGTGTGCATTGAATATTGAATTTACATTAAATATTTGTTCTCGTTTCATTGATTTGCTTTGTAGCAATCTTAAATAATACATACATCATACATTTCACATGATTCTTATGGATAATGGAAAATTTACATGTGAATTGCTGGTAATTCGACGTGCATTCATCAAATGCATAATATCAATAATAATATTTTACCTAATGCTTTTCCTCTCCCGAGACAAACATATTCGGCCGAGCTGCAAAACATGCAATGCATTAGAAAAACAACCCCTATCCTGTCGGGGTTGGGCAGCCGGTGCATGGAAAGGACATAACCGTCGTCGGTGGTAACACTATGTTGTTCCATGGGGTATCCATTTTGTGTAACCATTCTGGGCTAAAATAAATTTGAAATATAAAATATATCATTGAGAAAGGCGCAGAGATTAAAAATAACATAGGTCTTTTGAACCTTGAGGATTTGATACACAGTTCGTTTTGGCGTCGGTTCAAAAACGAACAAGATTTCATTTTTAAACATCATAATTGATACATGTTATATAATATATATATATATATATATATATATATATACAGGGCCGGATTTAGAAATTTCGCGCCCTGGGGCACTGACAAAAATGCCGCCCCATCCCTAAATTTTTTACTTAAAATAGTTTATATATATCATTTTTCTAAAATTAAAATAACTATTTGATTGCAAAAAAATTATTACGCATTACATAGTGTAAATAGTGATGCTTGGCATCGTGCCTTAAGATAAATTGCTGAAACTTTCAACACCAAAAATTAAAATTTAAAAAAAAAATTAAAGCGATCGGCCTGCGTAAGTAAGCGCCGCCTCGCAGAATAACAGATAAATAATTTTGCAGAACTCATAGAAATGTAAACAAAATTTAAATTATTAAAATATCTGATAATTTTATGTGCATATGGTTAATGATCATTTTTGACCGCCAAATGTTTCTCTTTCAATTTTTTTTATTGGGTCACCGAAACCGCTAGACCTGCCTTTCACAAACTTAATCAGTTCTCCATTTTGTCTATATATGTAAATTTCTTTTAATGATATTGGACGTTCCGTTTCTCAAAAAATGAATTATTATTTTTGGCATTTTGGCCCATATTTCCGAAACAGTTGGACCTGTCTTGGCCAATAACTAATCAGCACGTTTCGCTATCAATAGAAATCGAATTATTCAAATAAAATTCAATTTTAATAAGCTTAATAAATGAAACTTAATAATTTTCAAAAAATTTCGAACGTGCGTCACTAATTTAGTTTTTTTTTATCGCTATGAGCTTGGAAGTGCACAAATTCGTCATCTTAAGAGGGCTCGAGATCTGAAGAACATATTTTTCTTAAAGTTTCAACTCACTTACGAATCTTTATATTAGCCAAATTGCCAAATTTTGCAATGCATTTGTATAATGTTTTGTTAATTATATTTCTTGAAATTAAAAATGTTATTAAAAAAATTACTTAATTATATGGTATAGAATTTTTTTTCACTATCCAAATTTTGCTGCCCCCGAAAATTTGTAGCCCTGGGCAGTAGTCCCGACTCCCCCTACTGTAAATCCAGCACTGTATATACATGTATTTTAGAACACTTGAATAAATTGCACTGCACTGCATTATACATGTATAATAGAACTCTTGAATAAATTGAAAATATATTTTGATTTTAAAATTTAATTTTATCTTTAGTATATATAATTTCATACCAAGTACACAAATTTTTCATGTAGTCATTTTTTATTTTTTTATTTTCTTATAAATTACAATCTGTCTACATAGAAAGACATTGAGTAATTAATTTGACAAATGACATAGAATTTCCAAAGGAAAACCCAGAGGTTCACTTTATATTAATGTACTAAATTATGACTTAATTAAAATTAGGTATATGTATCCATATAATCACTATAATCTTTCCAAAAGATATTCAAAATCTTTTAAGACTGAATTTATTTGTTTATTTTCTTCAAAAATCCAAATGTATATAAACAATGACAGGTTTTCTGTGATTTTGCCAACACTAGCGCTATCAATTGCCTAATACCAAAAACTATTTATTGATAAGATAACAACCAAAGATAAATGATTTTATCATTGATAACGATCTATGACAGAAATATAAGATTTGAATTTGAATTTGAATATATGTAGGTAACGACATAAACATAACGACATAACGAGTATGACGAGTAACGATTTATATTGTTTTGGCGCCTTTTTGCCCCCATAAAAGCTGGCACAGAAACAATGTTAAGTCTTTTTGTGTTGAGACCTCGTGGAGTTACTACAGTGAAAGGTAAGTCATTTATAATAACTAATATTATTCTAAAACTGTTTTCAAGTAATTTCTAAAAAAAAATCATATATTCAGTTTCTTGAATATATGATTTATGCATGGTGTTTGCTTGCGTTTTGATTTATTTAATTTTGTTTAATGAATTATAAATAAAAAAATGGAAACCGTTAATTATTTATATAAATCGATTTATGTTATTTTTTCTATTTCAAAATAATTTTTGCCGAAGAGTTTCTGTAATGGTTTTGAAATAACTCTTTGGCCAAAATTATATTAAAATATTGAAAATAATGTAAATCCAGTAATATAAATAAAAAATGGTTTTCAAACTTTTTTTAATTAAAATTCAATAAAAATAAATCAAATCAAAGCGCAAGTACATATATACAGATATATGTATGTACATATGTATCTAATGTATATTGTATATATTTTATACAATATACAAAATTTTAAACAATATAAATAATTCCAACTGTAGAATTTAGGTATAATTTTATGATATAAAATTCAATTATTTGAATATACATTTTAATTTAAATATTAAATTATTAAATGAAAAATAGAAATAAGAACATATGAAATATATACTGCATATGTTCTTATTTCTATTTTCCATTTAATAATTCAATATTTAAATTAAAATGTATATTCAAATAAATTTAATAATTATTTAATAATTAAATTTAATTTAAAAGGTATTTAATAAAATTATACATATATATGTATAATTTTAATAAATACCTGTATAAATTTTATTAAATTTTATAACATTAAACTATGAGTATTGTATAATAATTGTACAAAATAATTTTAATTGAAAATGGCTGATATATTTGACTACAAAGTCAATAATAATGAAAAAAAGATTAGAATTAGAAAACTATTACAACATTAAAATTTATATCTGAACTTATGTTGGAATTATTTGCAATTGACTTTTTATAATTATTTAATGTAGTTGTTTAATTAATTTTTAATGTAGTTCGTTTCTTTTCAGATTTTATACAGTGCCAATAGTGTTATGTGCAGTGAATAATAACTTCGGAGGCTTATTGTGCATTAAACTTTTTTTAATATTAATTGTAACTTAGTTTATTTGATATAGTGTTAAAAGTAATTTTTTATTTACCATTTTGCGTTATTTCGAGTACATGGTCCACACTTTTTTTTTTTTTTTAATTTTCGAAATACGAACGAATCGTATTATGATGAAAATTGCGCGTTTGAAACTACGTTCCTGCCGCCTACCCCCCACGGCAGGTCCAAGTAGTCGGGTTTCACATTTAAATTTAATTTATTAATTGAATAATTTTTGTTTTGTATCTCTGAGTGTATGGACCCCTGCGTTGTTTTCCCAGAAGCACCGCAACCCCATGCACATAATTTAACAATTAATATTATTTGTTTGCAATTATTATTAAATTTAATTTTTTAATTATTTCGCTAAGTGGCCCATGGAAAAAAATAATTTTTTTTTAGATTCATAAAATTCTATTATAATGTTTTCAACTTACTTTGATTACTTTTCGTGTCGTAATGTAATGAACACAATTTCAAGAATTAACTTTACTTTTACTGGTCGCACAATGAGTCTCCTGGTGGAAGATGCTGAATTTATAAGTGGTTGAACTTGGCAATTTTCAGGACATGGTAAGAAACTCTGAGCTATGTACAAATCTTTTTAATATTGATAGAATTAAATAAAATTTGAATTTTAGGTTGAACACAGAAGTTACCAGAGGAATAGATCCTAAAACACTATTACTAAAACGGAAGAATGTTTACCAGGACGTTAGTGATTACCAGTGTACAAGGATAGAATGGACCACTTTGCAACCAGGAGCGCACAAGACCAGAAGAACGTTTGTTATATTCAGATAAGTTTGTTACTTACTAAGATAGATCACTTTGCTAAGTAGGATGGACCACTTTACCACCACCAGGAGCACACGACCAGGAGAACGTTATGTTGATAAGTATCTTACTTGCTAAGATAGATCATAAGATATTAGTTTTTTGCGATCATTTTCTATATTATTTTGTTATATTAAGATATGTATCTTACTTGCATGCGACGATAGATCATAAGATATTAGTTTTTTTGCGATCATTTTCTATGTTATTATTATATTATATACTATATTATTATTTTATCGGGGCCCCATTTACGTTTTCATTCTTTATATTTGATTCGTGGACGGATTTATATACATATTATAAATAAGATATATTTTGGGCAAAATCGTGTTAAATACAGTGCCAGACAGTGTTGTGTACAATGATATATCGTGATATATACAGTGCAAAACCTCAATATTTACAAATCAAGATCAAGATATAATTCAAGATCAAGATACATACAGTGAAACATCAACATCAAGATCCATACGAGATGAAGATACATACAAGATTAGAACCAACCAGAAAATTGACTACAAAATTGGAGGACGTACACATGGATATATTATTAAGTTAAAATTAGGTTAGAATACATTAGGCTGGTAGTTTACTATTTTTTATTTTAAAAATGGGTGGGGAAGACGGCAAGGACCTTCCAGTTTGCATAGATTTCGCGTTTTTTCACAATTATTTAAAATTAATTCATATAACAATACTTAATACACAATTTTATGACCTTTATAAATGCACTCCTCTATAAGCTTCATAGTGCTGGGAACCTATGAAGTTAAAGTATTTACATGGTGGATCTTAGGGGGGTACATCATGTAAATACTTTTTTTTTGTTTTTTTTTTTCTTTTTTTTTCTCTTCATTACAAAATTACCTTTAATTACAAAAGTACATTACAATTTTACCTTTAATTTCTAGCAGGTTCTTGCATCGTCTACGGTTTTTTCCTAAAGAAGATCTTCATATACATTTAATCATCTCGCGGGGTATTTTTCATGTTACATTTGGGTCATTTAAGTTAGGCTTAAATTAGGTTTAGTTAATTAATTTAAGTTATTTTGTAAGTGGACTAGGGCTGTACTCAATTTGTACGGCGACACCACATTAAAAAAAGCGCGCCTGGCAACTATACCTCCTGGGTGGTGTGGAAAATAGTTGCATCTTATTGTTAGCTATAAGTATAATAATTATCAATTTAATTATTTTATTAATTATATTTAATTAATATATAAATGTGTAATGAAAAATGTAAAATACGCTGATGTTAAATGTCCAAATATTCAATATAATAAAACTTTTAAAATAATCTTTGTTTTTCAATCTGAAAATGTCCAATTTTAAGAACGTCTATATTACGTTTTGAACAAGTGTATGGTTTGGATAATAATATTATCATATTATTATTGATCATAATATTATGTTCAATTGTATTTTTTTCCATCATTTTTTTTTATTTTGAATTTTTATGTTACTAATATAGAACTGACCTGATTTTTAGTACTTGTAACATATGTTACTATTAGTAATAGGAATATTGTAATTGGACATAACATTATAATCCATAATAATATGATAATATTATTGATTTTGCAATATTTTGTCATAAAATATTGGTTCGATACCATAACAATATCAGTATCCCAATTATTTAAATTGAAACTTATTCAAAAGTTAGTTTAATAATTTGCTTGCTTTCTTGTACTGAGATTAGTCCTAAGAAAAAGTATTTGCCATAGTAATCGGTATTATTATTTTTGGCATTTTGGCCAGTATTTCCGAAACAGTTGGACCTGTCTTGGCCAATAACTAATCAGCACGTCTTGCTATCAATAGAAATCGAATTATTCAAATAAAATTTAATTTTAATAAGTTTAATAGATGAAACTTAATAATTTTCAAAAAATTTCGACATATAAAAAAATTTTTCTTTGAATTCAATTTTTATCATTTTTCAAAAAATTTTAAAGCTTTTTATAAAATGTAATTTTCAGTACGGAAAGTTTCAGTAACTTGCCGTAAGACACATAATTAATTTTTTTTATCGCTATGAGCTTGGAAGTGCACAAATTCGTCATCTTAAGAGGTCTCGAGATTTGAAGAACATATTTTTCTTAAAGTTTCAACTCACTTACGAATCTTTATATTAGCCAAATTGCCAAATTTTGCATTGCATTTGCATAATGTTTTGTTAATTATATTTCTTGAAATTAAAAATGTTATTAAAAAAGTGAGTTAATTATAATTTTCTTCTCACTATCCAAATTTTGCCGCCCCCGAAAATTTGCCGCCCTGGGCAGTAGCCCCGACTGCCCCTACTGTAAATCCAGCACTGTATATATATATATATATATATATATATATATATATTCTTTTTTTAACATTCAATCCTAAAAATGAAGGCAAATTGAAAACCTTGACAAAAAAGTTTGATAATAATTACCTTCCATTATATTCTGGAGTATATCTGTTTGAGAATCCCAAATTTTTTTTTATTGATTTATATTAAATTTCTGAAGATTCAAACTATTTTTATACCAAATTCAAATTTTGAATGTGACTGTTAAATGCCTCTGATTTTTCATCTCCTTGTCCGGTATCCATTTTTAAAAATATTAAAAATAACGGTTTTTCGTTTCGATTCCATATCTTCATAAACCTTATGGAAGCTCTAGGGCTTCCGTTCATATTTAACTAAGAAATAACAGTTATAGAATTGTGTAAACTATGTCATAGTTTAAAAAATCTGAGTAAAAACTTACACACAGTTTTTATAGAAAACATGAAATGGCCTTGGTAGTTTAAAATATATAAGTAAAAACTTACTCACTGGTTTTGCAGAATAGTGTTATCTACTATATGGCCTTGGTAGTTTATGAGTAAAAACTTACTGTTGGCTTCTGTCTTTAGCAATAGAATATATAACAATTATTTGTTTTCCATTACACAATAAAAAGCGTAAACTGTTGAAGCAAATATATAAAACACAAACATTTCTTCATACCATTTCTCTTTATCAACTGACATTCAACCGATCGGAAAAGTGTACAAGAAATTGCGCCAAAAGTTAATGAGTGAAGTTTGCGGAAAACCCATTGAGTTTTCCTATCGAGAGTGGCGGGATTTTGGAAAAATAAAATATTATATAATAATGTTAAATGATAATATAATAATAAATTACAACATAATTGTTTAATTTATTGCATTAAATAATATTTTGGGATCAATTTTCAAATTAAATTGAGTCCATCAGGCAAAATTTAATTAATTCGAAAAGACTTGCACAAACTTCACACCTACGAAAACGGATTAATTTTTACGGATACAACGGATACAATTTTATATTTGTGCCAACAACTTCACGCAATTAACACAAGTGAAACGTCATTGAATTATTTCAAACTTTGCGTTATTTATTAAAGAAAATCTGTCATCTTTTATAGTTACATATACTTTAAGTTATCACAATTAATAATTTAAACTATATAAGCATTATCAAATCGTAAAATAATTACGTCAGAGTGCAAACTCAACTCGAAATAATGAATTTCAAATAAAATAAATTCACTGGCATATTATAATTTTAACACATTTAACTGTCATTACATATTTTTATTTTTTGTTACTCTTTAAATGAAGCAAAAACATAAATTAATTATGCAAAATATTATTAATGCATAATAATGTCAATGCAAATGCATAGAAATATATATATACATATATATATATACTATATATTATATATATATATATATATATATATATATATATATATATTATATTTTGAAAAATCCTTTATCTTACCGTTCTTGGTGATCTCGTAGGCTGTGTACCCATCATAAGCAATTCGCCTAAATAGAAATTTTGTAACATCTGCATCCAATCAAACTTCATTTTTGTTTATTGTTTCACTAAAATTTGCAGATTAAATTATCAAAACTAAATTAATGGCTCGTGTACAAGATAAACAATCACATGATTTATAGTCTCATTGTTTTAACAACAATCACAAGGAATTGCACAATAATTAAAATACTATTCTAAAATTGACTCAAGTTTACTAGATGCACTTGTACGTTTATATTAATAAAGTTATATGAGATTATTTAATGTGTTGTGAATTGTTAGATTTGTTTCTAATTCCGAGAAATCCTCGATGTTTTCTCTTCTATTGCTATAGTCGTACTAACTCGTACATTCTAATATCGAAACGATATAAGCTTTGTTAACGCATATGTAAAAACATACGCGCTCACACACACATAGAGCACGTTGTGATTTTAAATTCATACTTGAGTTGTATAGGCAGTAATTCGGAGATAAAGAAAAATATACTGGTTAGATAATTAAAGGAATAGAGAAGTTAATCTAGTAGCATTATAAAGTGATTATTACTCATCTTTAATATCTTATTAATATTAAAATTACAAGTATAGTTACTTGTATACGTGTATGTACGTTTTCATCCATCAGATCTTGATACGGATTTGAAATAATTATAGGAAAAATCGACATCCTGGTTATGTCCATTAAAATGGTTGACTTTACAATTGAATTGTTTGTAGTTATCTAAATATAGATTTTTTAAATTATATTGTATCTTAATTCATACAGATGACGTACAGATTATCTGCTTCTGAACTTTAGACTCTAATTACGTGCGTTAATTTAATACCTTGCATGTGTGTACATACATATTCATATGTATTTTTTTTATGTTACTTTGGCTGTCTGTGAAAATGTTGAAGCTCAAATTTTATTTGTTTAATAGATTTCATGCTCAGTCCTCCTCTTTCATTACTACTTCAGCAATATTTACCTATATAATTACATTTTTATTAGTTGTTTATATTGTTGACAGAATTATTTGACTAGGTACTACCAAAGCTTACAGCTACTAGCCTTACAAATTTAATCATTCAAATTATTTGTCCAGATATAGTTTACAACTATGGTACTGTACTTACTTGTTCTTTGTGAACTGCTATTGAAGATTTTTAACACTTTTGCATTCCATTTTCTTTAATAAAAGCGAAAACTAACGGAATATTTATGCAAAACATAGAACATTTTAATGACAGATCTATTGCATGAAGTTGGTGCAAGTTTCTCCAATTTTACTGAATGAATAAAAATGTTGAATCTCCAGTTTTAATTATTTTATAAATTATATGCTCAGTCCTTTTCATTCTTTATCAATATTTATGCCTATATAAATACATTATTATTATTATTACGCTCATATAGAACCATTGGTAACTAAATTATATGTTTAAGTACAACTAAAACTTTTCACTGCTCACCTTGCAGATAGAATCCTTTAAATTATTTGTCCTGGTATAGTTTACTGTAACTGTACTGTACTTACTTGTTCTTCGTGAAGATTTTTATCACTTTTGCATTCCATTTTCTTTTATAAAAGCGAAATGTAACGGAATAATCATGCAAAACGCATAACATTTCAAGGACGTTTCAATTGCACGAAGTTGAATGCACAAAAAAATATTTATGAGGAACAATTTTATAAATTACTTGCTAGGTCCTTTTCTTTCGTTGCATCGTCACCAATATCTACCTATATATAAATACATTGTTATTATTTTGTTCATAAAAAAGGTACTACTAAAGTTTGTTTATTCAGCTTACTACTACTAAGATTGTTAATAGAATCATTTAGTTTGTCCTGATATAGTTTACAACTAATGTAATGTACTTACTTGTTCTTCATAAACTGCTATTGAAGATTTTTATCACTTTTGCATTCCATTTTCTTTAATAAAAGCAAAAACTAACGGAATAATTACACAAAGCTTGAAACAATTCAATGACGTTTCATTTGTGTTAAATACGTGAAGTTGTTTAATATGATAAATTAATCAATTTAGTTTTTTGATTCAATTTTATTGAAAAATGATTCCTAAATATTATATTACGCAATAAATTAAACAATTATGTTATAATACATTATTATATTATTATTGAATATTATTATATAATATATTATTACTTCATTTGTCAAAAATCCCGCCACTTTCCCGGTACGAGCTTAAAAGGTTTTCTGCGAACTTCACATCTTAACTTTTGGCGCAATTTCTTGTACACTTTTCCGATCGGTTGAATGTCAGTTGATAAAGAGAAATGGAATGAAGAAATGTTTGTGTTTTAAATATTTGCTTCAATAGTTTACGCTTTTTATTGTGTAATGGAAAACAAATAAATGTTATATATTCTATTGCTAAAGACAGAAGCCAACAGTAAGTAAGTTTTTACTCATTATCAGATATTTTAATCTACCAAGGCCATTCGATAGTTAATTACTTTGCAAAACTGTAAGTTTTAATCATATATTTAACGAATATGCTATTCGATCTTCTTTATAAAAGCAGTTAGTAAGTTTTTACTCACATATTTTAAACTAACAATGTTATTATATAGTCTATACTGTTTTATAGTAATAGTTATTTCTTATAAGTTATTAGTTAAATATGGCCGAAATGTTTTACAAGCCTTAGAGACATTACAAGCGGATTATGAGGATATGGAATCGATATAAAAAACTTTATATTTTTTATTTCTACAAATGGATACAAAAGTTAGATGAAAATAATGAGCAAATACACTGAAAATTTTGTATAAAAGTAATCAAGCCCAGGATTCGTCAATAAAAGAAACTCCAGAATATAATAGAAGGTAATTTCTTTCAATCTTTATTAAGGATGTAAGACCACAAATATTACATTTTAATAAAAAAAACTTTTTAGGGCTAAGTATCAAATATTATCCAGGTATTACAAAAAATTAATTTAATTTCAAATTGAATAAATTCAAATTAATATTTTCAAAGATAATATTATTTAAATAATTCTAGTAGTATAATATAAAATATAATAGTATAATATAATAGTATAATTTAGTTTATATATATATATATATATATATATATATATCTTGCAACTTATGAGAAAAAATTATTTCCAAATGTGCTAATAATAATAAAATTATATAGGAGACGATTTTATTGGAACAAAGAACAAAACTTATAAAAAAAAGTCTGGTTGAAAATATGAAAAAAAAATTAAATAAGAAATATGGATGATACAAGAGTAAATGAATTAGAAAAAATGTTGGACAATTAAGTATGCAGAAATAATACGACTTAAAATCAGGATATATAATTTACATCAAAATATATGGAGAAAGTAATGTAAAAATTTTGGATGTATAATTAAACAAATGGGTAAATATAAAACTTTATATATAATAGTAAATATAAAAACCAAATTAATTTTTCAAAACTTATATTTTAATAATGTTTTTAAACAACACATACACACACATATATATGTATGTAATTGTAGATTATTAATTATATTTGAAAATCCAAGAGCGAAAGTAGAATGTGATTATCTTTTTGCATTTTTTGTATGTTATTACGTCTTCTTCAAAACTCATATTTATACCTACATAGATACAAATATATATATATATATATATATATATATATATATATATAAATAATATGAGACTGGTGAAATGGAACTTACGTAACACAAAGAAATACGAATTCATATTTTTGTGTGCTGTTCAAAAAATATATCTATTCTATTAAAGTTAATGTTTCAAATCAAAATACAATTACTATAAGTAATTTTGCCTTTCATAAGCCTTTCAATAAGATAATAACATATTATATACACACACACACACAGATATATATATATATATATATATATATATATATAAACTTAATGTGTTTAATTTATATCCATCATATTACACCTAATTAATATTTATTTCTCAAAATAGTTGTGAAACAGGAATTTTATCAAAAATTCAAAGTGACTAATAATCTAGCCTTGAACCAAAATAAGTAAGATCAGAGAATTATGAAAAATCAAATTTTATAAAAAGCCAAAAACCAAATCCTTCAAAAAAGAATGTTACACTAATTTAGTGTACACTTAAGTGAACGTTTCAAATCAAATGTAAGTAATTTTGCCTTTCTAAGCTTCCAATATAAATTACATACAAATTGTACAAATATATGCAAATATTTCAAAATTGTATCTAATTCAAATTAATATTTATTTTCAAAGACAGGAATTTTATCTGCCTAAAAGATTTCGCCTTGAATCAAAGTGAGTCAGATCAGCTTAAACTTTAAATCCAATTTTGCCTTTCTAAGATTCCAATATAAATTATATACAAGGTGTACATATTTATGCATATATTTCAAAATTTTGTTTAATTTATATTCATTATATTAGAGTTGATTAACATTCAATTTTTCAAAATAGTTGTGGAACAGGAATTTAATCTGAAAGTCTAAAAAATCTTGCCTTGAACTAAAGTATATAAGATCAGAGGGTTATAAAAAAAACAAACCGGTCCTTTGGTATTAAAAAAAAATTATAATCACATTTTTATACGTGATTTTATTGCCCTTACTATTTAATGGGTAACAGGGGTTAATATTGAAGAAAGTTCATTAATCGTTTATTCAAGTAACAATATAGTAAGTTGTTATAAAAAAATGAAAAATTTTAACAATTTTTTTATTAAAAATTAAAATAATATTTGTTAATAAATAATAATTGTATTACATATTACAATGATATTGTAACTAATTCAACTGAAAATTATGAATATTGTACTCTAGCATTTTTGGAGCAAGTTTAGGAAAACTTATTGTGAAAAATGAATGTATTAACCCTATTTTCTACCATTTTTTTTAAAAATAGAAGTATCAAGAAAATAACTTTTAAAATTTACAAATGAAATATAAATAATTCCAAGGAACTTATAAGGAAAAATACTTTAAGAAATGAAATATTTTTTCTTATATTCTAAAAGATTTAAAGATCGTTTTATTCCTAAATACAAATCAATTGCAATTACTTCGATATTTTAATAGGTAATTTTGCCTT